GTATTCCTGGAGAAATCTAATTCTTAAAGAGTTCACTCAGCACTCCTACCCCAACCAGCCTCTACATGTCCCATAGCAGGAACACAAACTAACTTGAAGGCTTGTGCCTAGGACTTATTTTGGGCTCCCCTCTCCCACCTCCCCTGCAGATACTCTACCAAAACCCATCCCCACCCCCACCCTGCTCAGCCACGTGTAACTGAGGAAGAAGAGAGGATTGTAATGGTTCAACCTTCTTACTGTCTAACCTTAGGATAGGGATCCGAAAGGCTCTAGGGACAATGCCCTAAATACTCTCCCCACCTTCCCTACATTTGGTAAAAAAAAAAAAAAGTAAAAGATATTGATTCAAATCAAGTCAAAAGAAAGAGAGGAAAACAAAGAAGAATAAACTAACACCAACGGGGGAGTAAAGGGATTGGCCATCTTAAGAGTTTGATTTTTAACAGAGCCAGGTGAGAGACAGATACATAAACATAGAGACGGAGATAGACACACAGACAAAGATAGAGAGAAACAGAGAGACAGAAACAGACATACAGAGACAAAGAAAGACAGAGATAGAAAGAGAAATAGGGAGAGAGAATTTGGTGTACGAATACACTAAATTCAACAGAGAAATAGGCGGGGACAAGGAAAAGAGTGGGGTTTAAGAGAAAGAAAGTAGAGTTGGGCAGGAATAGTCACAAGAAAAACAAACTTCAACTCCAGAACGTAGATCATAAAGGGGAGATTAAAAGAGGAGGGGGGAATAAAAGAATCAGTGATCAGGTTCTGGTTTGAATAGAGAAGAGGGGCAAGAAGTGAAAACAGACTGTCTCAATTATAATTTACTAGGGACAATCTCACTTGTCCTTTCCCCTCCTACTTTGTAAAGAAGAAAAGGGGAAAAGAATGGAAAAATTATAAGAGGTTATGATGGAGAAAAAACACAATAACCATAATCATGAATGTGAATGGCATGAATTCACCCACAAAATACCCCCAAAATACTTTGCATAAAAGGATATGTAAGGCAGTGATAAAATCCCCACTGAGGGCCACCAGGGTGCTATAAGTACTTTCCCTCTCGGCCTTACTCTGAGGCATAAAAGTCCTTCACCTCCAAGAAAGACAGATCACTTAGTTCTGGGTCATTGTCCTAAATAATGTTGAGTCATTCCCATTAGGTAATTCCTACTGCGTACCCCATGTTCAAGTAATTCTGAGGTCATAAGAGATTGTGTTGACAATGTGGCAAATGTTTGACTTGTATGTTCTTGAAGCACTTCTCACCTAAAATTTCAATGTAAATGATCACTTAACTATACCTCTAGACTAGATATAGACACTTACTAACTGGACTGGCAACTGGGACTGCTCTGTAAGAATTGTACCCATGAACAGTGGGATATGGCAAGAGGGTAAATAGAGAGTAGGAAAAAATGAAATAATAATAGTAGCTAGCATTCATACCATGCTTTAACATTTGCAAAGCACTATATATGTGTGTGTGTGTGTGTGTATATATATGTATATATATATATATATATGTATATATATGTATATATATTATATATATATATATATATATATATATAAAAATTCTCATTTGGTTGCAATAACTCTGCTGATTTTGTAGATAAAGAAACTGAAGGCAAAATGTTCTCTGCAGGCACAGGAACAAGCTACTTGGAAGGAAGGAAGGTGTAGGATGGAAGGAAGGAAGGAAGGAAGGATTTGTTGCCTTCTTCTGGTTTTATGTTTTGATCTTCTTTGTTAGCAAAGAGAGATTCTATGGTCTGACTTTTTTGCGCCTTTGTTTGCTCATGATACTAGCCAATTACTTGAGTTTTAAACCCTTTGTTAAGGTAGGGGTCTGCTTCAAATGTGGAGAATGTACTGTCCCAAGTTTCAGGGGTTTTGTGCAGCTATTTTCAGAGATACTTGCAGGGACCTGTAAGTTTTCAGTTCTCCCAAGGTGGTATGATCAAGGGTGAGGTGTTTACTCCTTTCCTGGCCTTTGCTGTGGTCTGTGAGTGACCACAAGCACTCTTTTCTGTCTTGGAATTGGAAGGAGGCTTTCCTCTCCACTGCCACTATAAGCTCCACCATGACAGCACTCCTCCTCACCCTAGGACCACCACCCAGAACTGTGACCCACATCCAAGCAGGGGCAAAGCAAGAGAATCCTGCCCCAGCAAAGAGATCCCTGCAATCCCCCTCTGGCCAGCCGTGTTTGCAAGATTGACTTTTTGAACCGAAAGTATGCGGATTTACATTCATCACTTTCGAATTCCATTTTATTAGATTCCAGTACTTTATATGGCAGTTAGGTGGTGCAGTGGATAGAACTCTGAGCCTGGAGTCAGGAAGATTCATTGTCCAGAATTCAAATCTGGCCTCACACACTTAATCGTCGTGTCACCCTGAATAAATCACTTAACCCTGTTTGCCTTTTTAATGCTAAACTGAGGAAGTTCATATTTGATCCTAAAGGTAACAGGGAGCCATTGAAATTTATTGAGTAAGGGAGTGACATGGCATTGAAAAAGCACTAAGCATTTGATATGAATGCTGTGGGCTAGAACTCCTCAGAGTTCTAGTGCTTTGGAAGAGGAAATCATGTTGTTAGGTCTCTGCTTTTAAGGACTGCTAGTTTTATCTCTGGAAATGGAAGAGGAGGACAGGGGAATCTTGGCGAAGCTATGCATTTGATTTGATTGGATCATCTCACTGCCCTGAAAGAATGGAGAAGAGCAGAGTAAAACTTCCATGCAGTCCACAGAGTGCTTCCAACTAGAATGAATAAATAGATAAGGATAATTCACTTTATCTAGCACCTTGAAGTTTTACAGAGTGTATTCCCCACTATGACTTTAGTGTCAGTATGTAATGTATTATTCCCATTTTATCCCCAGATGAGAACTAAGTCAGAGGTCAAAGATTTTGCCCATGGTCATTCAGCCGTCAGGTATTAAAGCTGAGATCCCAACCTAGTTCCCCAAGGCTAAATCTAACATTCTTTCTATTACACTGCCCTCTTTCAGTACACCAAGGATTCTTAGATTAGAGTTCAGGACACTCAATGTTCCTTCTCACACATTTGGAAGAGACAAATGTGACCAAAGGTGCTGAATAAGTTGTGCTTAGAAGGTGGTATGAAAAATAACTTTGAGCCAAAAAGTGAATAGTCCCAACCCATATCAGACTTTGTGTATTTCAGTCAACTTAATTTATGCGGCAGTGCATTGGAGATATAACCTCATCCTCTTAGAAAGAACAAATTCCCCATGGTTTTGTTTTGTTTTGTTTTAGTTCCTTATTCTTATTTTTAAGTAGCAAGTTTTATTTGTCTATCCCTCTGACTACCTTCCTCCCTTACTGAATAAAAATTTTTAAGCCCTCCATAAATATCTCTGTCGTTGGGCAACACAAATTCCCACATTAGCCACATCTGAAAATGTATCTATCTCTCTGCATTTTAAATTTATCACCTCTTTGTCAGATGAGTGGCATGTAACATTTATTCTTCTGGACTCATGCTTTATTATTGTTTTGGTTAGAGTTCTAAAGTCTTTCAAAACTGCTTTTTTATATAATGTTATCATTGTACGATTTTTTCTAGTTCTGCTCACTCTTCTCTGCGTAAAGGTCTTTCCATTTCCTCAGAAATTGTCCCTTTTATTATTTCTTATGGCACAATAATACTCTATTACATTCATGTTCCACAAATCATTTAGCCATTTTCTAAGAGGAAGATACCTCCTTAGTTTGCAGTTTTGGGCTTTCGTGACATTATCTGCTGTAAATATTTTTGTACGCATGTGTCTTTTTTCCTCCTTTTTTGAATTCTTTGGATTATAGGCCTAGTAATAGCATAGTCGGGTCAAAAGGTATGCACAGTTTGGTGACTTTCTGGACATAGCTCCAAATTGCTTTCCACAGTGGCTAGAACAATTCACAGTTATACTAACAATGTAGTAATGTGCCTGTTTCCCACATTTCCCACGGTCTCTCCAACATTTCTTATTTTCCTCTTTTATCATCTTTGCCAGTCTTCTAGGTGTGAGGTGAAATCTCAAAGTTGCTTTAATTTGCATTTCTCTGATTATTCATGACCTGGAGCATTTTTTTCATATGATTGAAGATAGCTTTAATTTCTTCCTTTAAAATCTGCCTGTTCATATACTTTGTATCCTCTGTGTGTATATACATGCATATATATATATATATATATATATATATATATATATATATATATATATAGTAAATACTTTAACATGTACATTTAATATGTATATATAAGCTATGTGAAGGCAAGAACTATTTCATTTTTGTCTTTGTTAACTCAGTGCCTGGCATATAGTAAGCACTTTTGGCTTTGATTAGGAGAAAAGAAAAATAATCTTTGACATGAATCAAGAAATGGCTTTTTTGAGATAGTGTAAACTACTGTTGGCTCTAGCTAAGTTCAGAAGGCAGAGCCCTAACTAGAAATGATGGCATCTGGGACAAACTTAGTAGTGTAGTGCAGAGGTGGGGTGGGGTCTAAAGTATGGACACTACTATGTGTGGTTATGTCAGTCTAGAGAGAGGAGTCATTACAGTTGAGTAAATTGAAGGACTGGGAAGCCAGGATGTATGAAGAGAGCCAGGACTGGGAGTAGAGATAAAGGTCGTGAACCAGATGCTGACCTTGTTTAGGACAACAAATGAAGTAACAAGGATCTGGCCAGGGACCAATGAACTTTAAAGGAGAAGTGTTTGCTGAGTGACTATGGCAGAGGGAGGGTCTGAAAGTGGCATTATGGAGCAAGGAGTATGTTCATTCTTCCTGGAGGCTCTCCATGTTAGGTAGGGTGAAAGAAACAGCAGGGAGCCTTGGAGAACTTGTTCTCTTAGGAATTCCCTCTTTCTCTGTGCTGGGCCATGAGCTGAGCTCTGCCTCTATCTCCCTAAAATAAGCACATTTTCAGTGTAAGACTTTTCTTTCCTTCTTTCTCCCATTGTTTAAACAGGGACCGCTCTGTGCTGCATCCAAAAGAATGAAAGTAAAGCTGGGTTCTCTAGGGAAACCATGTCTGCCTTACAATGTTCAGGTGGGCAATTCTAATGAGAAGAAAATCCTGATATACCTGCTTAAAGTAAGATGGTGGGTAACAGAATTGGTTCTCAATTATCCAACCTAATAGAAATATGTCATAGGATGAAACCTGGGGCAATCATTTCTTAGAAAGACAATGCGTCATAATGGATGAAGTATTGGACTTGGAATCGATGGGAAAAGCACTGAGTTTGGAATCAGAGGACCTGGGTTCAAATTCCACTTTGTTACTCACTGCCTAGGGCTGTGGATAGTGCTCTGGACCTGGAGTCAGGAAGATCTGAGTTCAAATCTGGCCTCAGATACTTACTAGCTGTGTGACCCTGGGCAAGTCATTTGACCCCTATTAGTGTCAGGTTCTCATCTGTAAAATGGAGAAGGACTGGAGAAAGAAACATTGTCAGTGTCCAAAAGTGTATGTCTCATTCAGCATCTAGAGTCCATTGTCTCTGCCATGAGGTGGACAGCACACTTCATCATCGGTCCTCTGGAATTGTTGTTGCTCAATGCATTGACCAGAGTTCTTTGTCCTTTTCCTTACAATGTTGTAAGGAACCTCTTCCTGAGTGCAAATCTGGCCTCAGACACTTGCTAGCTGTGTGACCCAGGGCAAGTCACTTTGATGAGGTAGAAAAGAGTGCTTGAGGCAGATGGAGCAAGCAGGACAGGAGATAGGAGATGCAGGATATGACCACCCAGAAAAGTGATCAAAGAAGACTATGCATTGAAGCCCCTGCTTATCTGTGGACTTATCTGTGGTGCTTTCACAAAGCACACAGGTGCTTTCCAGAACAATTCCAGAACAACTCTTCCCTTCTCCTTTCCCTCTCTTTGCTTATCAATCACCTGGGGACTATCTGATATCCCAGATATTTTGGAGCCATGCTTGCTCCTCCCATTCTCTTGTCCCCTTCCCCCATTCCATAAAATTGTATTTAAACCATTCCTTTGACCTGGCTAACCACCTTTGCCCCCTACAGGAAGCAGGGGCCCCTGTGCTCCCTTAGAGGAGCAGGGCCTTCAACTTATGCTCTGCCTTTCACTTGGAGCAGAGCCCACTGGGGCTCTGCCTTATGGGGAGTAGGCCCACTTGGGTGCATCACCACAATAAATGCCTTTTTTTTTAACTTGGAGACTGTCCGAGTGAATTCTTTCAGGACACTAACACCCGTATGTCTATTCCTCATTATTTCATGTAGCACCCCAACATTCTTGGGGTCTATCCTGAATCATCACCAATGGCCACACAGAAGGTCTAAGGGAATTCTTCCACATCTGAACCATGCTCTCCCAACTCTGGCCTCAACAACTGCACCCTGTTTGCCTCAGTTGCCTCATCTGTAGAATGAGCTGGAGAAGGAAATGGCAAACCACTCCAGTATATCTGCCAAGAAAATCCCAAATGGGGTCACGAAGAGTCAGACAAAATGACTGAACAACAAGAAGTCAACGTATAAATTGTTTTCCTGATTTGCTGACTTGTATAAATTATATTGTATAAATTGTTCACCTGGTTTGCTCATTTCACTCCGCAGTCAGTCAGTTGGTCAGTTAATAAACATTAATTAAGTGGCTACTTTGTGGTAGGCATGGTGCTAGGCCCTGGGGATACAAAGGTAGGCCTAGTTCTCAAGGATTTCAAAATCTAAAGAGGGAGAAAACATGAATCAGTTCGTGCATGTCTTCCTAGGTTTCCCTGAAACTGTCCCTCTCACTGTTTTTTATGGTGTAATAGTATTCTCTCATATTCATATACCATAATTTGTTCTGTCATTCCAGGGCTTTGACACTACAAAAAGTGCTGTTATGATGTTTTTACCAATGTCTTTTCAATGTAATTTTGTGATTATGTTATTATAATGCTTTATAACCAAATCCCACCCTCAAGTCAGGCTCCCTTCTATAGTCTTTCAGTCATTTAATCCCCAAAGACCTGCCCACCTCAGCTTTTTTTTCTTCATTTCCTATCTGAAGTGATTTTTTAAAATGTGTTTATTTTCAGTTTTCTACATTCACTTCTATAAGATTTTGAGTTCCAAATTTTCTCCCCATCTCTCCCCTCTCCCCAACCTCAAGACAGCGTGCAATTTGATATAGGCTCTACATATACATTCATATTAAGCCTATTTTCACATTAGTGATGTTGTAAAGAAGAATTAGAATCAACGGGGGAAAGCCACCTCAGCTTTGATTCCCAGCTGGAACATTTGTTCTTCATTTGGATTCTTAAATATCACAGCTGAGGTCATAGAATCTGTTAAACTTTTTATATAAACAGTTCACTTAAACGGATTAGCCACACAAAGAGATATCATCAAGACAATTGCTTCAGCCTTCTGGAACACAAAGGAAAAGAGAACAGACTAAAATACATCTGAACCTTTACTTATACTTTCAGCTCAGCTTTGGCAAATTGAGCAGTCATGATTCCATTGATTGCCCAGCTCTTGAAAAAGATTTGGGAGGGTTGGGTGGGGAGGGGGGGAATTGCTGTTGTGCAGTCATTTCTGTTGTATCTGACTCTTCATCATCCTATTTGAGGTTTTCTTGGCAGAGAAACTGAAATGGTTTGCCATTTCCTTCTCCTACTCATTTTATAGATGAGGAAACTAAGGCAAACAGGGTTACGTGACTTGCCCAGGGTCACACAGCTAGTAACTGTCTGAAGACAAATTTGAATTCAGAAAGATGAGTCTCCCTGACTTCAGGCCCCGCACTCTCTGCACTATAGCACCACATAGTGGCCACTGGTATGGAGCAGAGGTAAATTATCAATGGATTCAGAATCCGGGATAAGTTCCTCAGAGCATGTATCACCCAAGTTATAGTCTTACTCCTGCATTCACTCTCAATTCTCATTCTCATTGCTATCCCTCAATACCCAAACCAGGATCTGAGAGTCCTGAATTCCTTACTTACATTCAACTAAATTGATCATAAGGAATAGTGTCCCCAACCTACTAAACAAATAAGCCCCAGGGAAGCTGAAAAAAACCCTGCATCACCTTGTAAGAGTAAGACTACAGTAATGGTTGAATCCCCCTTTTTTCCACTTGAAGGACGTTTGAATATCACCTAGCTGTCACTTTCCACTGCATTCCCTCCAGAACTGAGTCAGCACCAAAACTGAACTTTGACATTCATCTAAATCCAAACTCCCTGCTTTCCTGCCCCTAAAGCCTGCTCCTCCCATGCCCAGAGAAAAATACCCTTTAAAAAGAAAATCACCAAACTTTACTGGTTTGGGAAGGGTACCTCATTTCCTCTAGGTCCCAGTGGGGTGCCAGACCTGTTTGCACCATCTCCCCTGACTGCCCTTCATATTGTAAGTATATTCCCTCAATAAAACTGGCTTCCTTTACTGGTCTTGTATGCTTCATGCTTCCTTGTACAGGACCTTGGTATCACAAACCTTCCTACGTCTACATTAAGACTGACCTCTTGCTTTCTAGACATTCTGAGCTGGGCCTGACACAGGCCACTGCCCTCATAGTTTATGTTTGATACTGGAACAAAATCAGACTCTCGTAGGTCTTTCAACAGTTAAGAAAAGATTTAGGTAGTCATGAAAATGGGAAGATATTCAATAAGGATATATAGTAAGGACATCTGGAGTCAGTCAGCTGAGAGAAGTTCCCTTGCCTATATGGTCTAACAGCCATGCAACAGAGAGTACCTGGAGCTCCTTGGCTGCTTTATACTCAAGCAACCAGGAAGTGATAGCAATAGGCTTTAATCTCCTGAGCCAATCAAGTCTTGAGAATAGTTTCAGTACCTGTTAAGGAAAAATTAGACTACTTCGCATGGGGTAGGGGGTAGGATATTATCCTGCCATACTAGCCAACACAAATATCATATCACTCCCTGCTTTCAATGCCTCTTCTCACTGGGGGAGGGAGGGTAGAGAAGGAGAAGGAGAAAGAGGAAAATGAGAGAAGAGGAAGAGGAAAAGGAGGGAGGAGGATGAAAAGGAGGGAGAAGGAGGAAGAAGAAGAAGAAGAGGGAGAAGAAGAAGAGGGAGAAGAAGAAGAGGAAGAAGAAGAAGAAGAGGAAGAAGAAGAAGAAGAAGAACAACAGCAACAACAACACAACAACAACAACAACAACAACAACAACAACAACAACAACTTCTAGAGAGACATGTGTTCTAGCTCAGGGCTGAAGAACTTGTGCTTTGAGATGGCAAAGCTACCCCTTATTGATCACTATGGACTTGTGATTTGGGATGATGATGATTGATTCTTGTGGGAGGGAGGGGACTGGGCCAAAAAGGATTGGCCACTAAGCAGAAAACACTGTCCACTCAGAAGTGGAAGACCATTCTGCTATAGCTCTCTTTCCTTCCTCTCTCTCTCTCTCTGTCTCTCTCTCTCTCTCTCTCTCTCTCTCTCTCTCTCTCTCTCTTTTTGTGAGGCAATTGGGGTTAAGTGACTCGCCCAGAGTCACATAGCTAATAAGTATTATGTGTCTGAGGCTGGATTTGAACTCAGGTCCTCCTGAATCCAGGGCCAATGCTCTATCCACTGTGCCACCTAGCTGCCCTTCTTTCCTCTCCTTTAAAGGTGGGATTCCAGTTGCTCTTCCTTGGACTTCCAAAGGTGGGGAGGAGGTGCCCCTCTCCTCCCTGCCTCAGGTAAGTAGAGCAGCTGCTCACATATGGCAGTGAAAGCATGTGTTTGTCTAGGGGAGCCTGAGACTAGTCTTCAAGGCCCTGGCTGCATCTTCTGCTTTTTGTTTCTTTCTCTGAGCATGGGTGACCAAACAATGATCTTTAAATGGATGTTTCTAGCTTTGGCAGGCTAGCTCCCTTCTCTGATTCTGGATCTGCCCCCTGACATTCTTGACTTCAAAAGCCTGCTTCAGCAGCTATAACATCCTGGAATTTCCCTCAGGGCCTTCTCACCTTGGTATATTCTTTCATCAGGACTGCCATTTGTCCCATTGCTGATTTCTTCTTGGGGAAATCTGTTTTCCCCTCCTAGTGAACCCTAAAAGGAAAAGACCATGTCTTCGGGATCTGGACCCTAAAAAGGAAAAGGTCCTAGACTTCCCCATATGGCCCAGGTCCCTGGCATTCACATGGGGCACTCAGCCCTTCCAAGTTAATCCTTTCAACTGCCCTTTCATTGTGGCCCTCCCTGACTTCACCAGGCCCTTCTGGGTCCTTCTCTGTTACCTCCCAGTTGCCCAAGGTATTGGCCACTCTGTGACCACTGTATATGTGTCTATCCTGCCCCCATTAAATCACTCAGATTCGTTAAGAGTCTGGCTCACTTGTATTCTCATTACAAAGGCTCAGATTCTTAAAACCTGGCCAACAGGGCGGATGCTTAAAATCTCACCATCCTGATTGGTGTTCTAATAAACCTTGTCTTTGGCTGAAAGAAAACTTGGGTCAAATTCATTCGAGGCAGGACCTACTTTGTTTGCCTTTGTTTGCCCTTGAATTTTGGGGTTCCCAGCACCCCTAGACCTCAACACTAGTTCTGTCCCTGAATTTCTGGACTTCAAAAATTTCACTCCACCACAACTCCATCTCCCCACCCCCCACCCCTTCACACACACTTTTCAGGTCCCTTTTGTCTTCTGTCTTCCCCCATTAGAATACAAGCTACTTGAGGACAGGGGATAGCTTTCTTTTTGCTTGTATTTAGATTCTCAAGGCTTAGTACAGTATCTGACACAAAGTAAATGTTTAATAAATATTTCTTGCCTTGTCTTGGTAGTAAGCTAATGAATATGAGAGATCTTAGGTTTAAATCTTGGACAAGGACAGAGTAATCCCACTAAAGAGCCCTAGCTCTGGACCTGGTTTAGTCCCGAAAGGAGCACAACCTCCAAAGAGAGAGGAAAAGTCTTTTCTGATATTTTCTGGCTCATCCTGCTCCCACCTCAGAGTAGAACTGGGAGGGATCTCTAAAGCAAAGCTTAGGAATGGCTCATGTCTAGGGGCTTCCCAAGAGGAGCACAGAGGGCCACTTCTAGAAAAGTGTTCAATGTACAAAGGAGATCAGTGCTAGTCTACTACAAAAGACATGTTAAAAACAAAAAAACTCAGAAGTGCACATTGAAATACTTAAACATGAAACAGTAACCCATTACTCCCATTACATACTCCTATAAAGTTGATATTTAAAGTATTAAAACATGAGATGTTGTGGGAGTGCCGAACAGGCATTTTTACCTTTACCTCGGCTCCATACTATGGGCAGCTAGGTGGCGCCATTAGTGCACAGTGCCTGGCCTGAAGTCAGAAAGACCCATTTTTCTGAATTCAAATCTGGCCTCAGACACTTATTAGACGTGTGTCCCTGAGCAAGTCACTTAAGCCTGTTTGTCTCTGTTTCCTCATCTGTAAAATGAGCTGGAGAAGGAAATG